TTTCGAGCTTTATAGTTGGGAAAAATTATGCAAATAAATGTTGGACCAACTTTATCTATTTTAAAAGAAATGAGCTGACTTCTTGTTAAACAAAAATGGGCCAGCTTGTATGAAGCTTTTGGGCTGCTGGAATTTATTATTAAAATGGGCCAAAAAATAAATTTCAATTGGCCCAATGCTATATAGAAGAAAAGGGGTATTTTTGTTGTTTAAAGGTAAATGGGCCAACTTTTATCTTTGATTCAATAAGGCCCAAAGTTGATACAATCTTAGCTCTTTACTTAGTTTGAGTTCATGACCATTAACTACATAGTCACAATTGTATAAACGCCCACTTTATAAAAATAGCCATTTTTGCAAATCTGGCAAAATGGCAAGATTCACAAAGATATTATCACAGCATTCCTACAAGCTTTGTTGGCAGTGAAATTTCAGCAACTAAAACGAACTCATGCTATGTGTTATACACTTAAAGTCATTCATGGCATACTTAGCATTGTTACTCGAATATAATAGCTTGAAAACATGCTTAAAAAAATCCATAAACGACTTACATATCACATTCAAAAACTTACAACTCAATATTCAAGTATTATGAAGGACTATATTCACATTATCACATGCTTGATACATAACAACAACATACAAGCTCTTTTGTTGTCAAACTATTCATCACATCAAACACATTTAAATGGTGCAGCATGTTCAAGTTGTTCCCATTGCTGAAAATACGTACATTACGAGACTTAAAGGATTACCTAGTAGCAAAAGAATAAATAGTAGTTCAGCAACTAAAGCAGCATAAAAACAGCAGCAAACCAGCAGCAAAACCAGCAGCAAATCCGTGTTAAAACAACCCGAAAACTTAGAGAGGGAACCCAGAAACGAACTCTAAAGAGGACTTATACTTTTTAAAAGTTTGCACTCTAAGATTCACTCCCAAAGCTCACCATTTCAGCTTACTTTTCATGTGTTCAACTGCTGAATTTTATTTTTTGGTGACAAAGCAATTATAAAAAATGCCCCCCTGGAAGTGTGATAGAGTCCTCCCTATATATCAAAACAACCAGCTATTTCAAAAAATTAAAAATCAATCTTTTTGACAGATTTTCTACAAAATCTGATCTTAAATTCAAAATGCCAGACTTTTTGGTTCAAATCTTGTCAAGTATTTCAAACAAATCTGCTCTCCACTATTCAAAGACAGACTTTTATTCAAACACTGTCCAAAGATCTACATTTTCTTACCAAAAAATTTGACTTTTGAGTGTTGTACTCAAAGAGTCTTCAGCAGCAAATAAACAACCCAACAAGTACCATATACTCTTAAGTATTTTTCACTACCTCACTTTTATCGATACAAAACTATTTTACTACTTCAACAAGTGCAAAAACAGAAAATTTAACATTTCAAACTTCAAAAACTAATGCTAAAATAATTAATAATAGACAAAATAAAATCTGAAAAATAAAAATAAAAATAAAAAATCAGCCATGAAAAAGAATAGGATTTTACCATTTTACAATTCAAGTGGCCGAAAAAATGGTGGTATGCCAAACGAGGGTGTTCGGGGAGGTCGCCGGAATTTAGCTGGATTTTGGTCGCCGGATTTTCAGGGTGAAATTGGCATCAATAGCTAGGTCTTGAGAAGCTCTATCCATTGATGTAAGTATTGTGGGGTGGTAGTGGTTGGAGTTTCAATAATTTGGGGAAAAACGTGACGGGAAAGTTTCCTAGATCTAAGATTCAAGGAGTTTGAGGGATTTTTGAAGGATTTGGT